CCCCGGCCAATCATCCTTCAAGGCTCCGCTTTAAAAGATCTTCATCCATGGAACCCTCCGTTCTTCAGCTGAACTTTGACCCTCCTCCACCCCATCTCCACCATTTTGGCTTCCAAACTCCTTCCAAATCTCCTCAGGCCTCCACTCCACCACCAGGATCGGATCCCAGGGGGGAAGACATCTCTAAATCTAACCCTAAGATGTTCATTCAAGCTCATGTCATTCTCAGCATTCATGTCTTCCACTGGGGTCCGAGCGCCGAGGAAATAAACATTCACTAATAAATGTTTCTAATTGTATCCCTGTCTTCTCTTTGTGAGTTTCCCAGGTTGAAATAACAATAAAACACACAGCCCTGTGATAGAGTAACAACAGATAACATAGACATAATCCAAAAACTGTTGAAAAATTGGTTAATAAAAGTATCATAAAATGATGCTAAATATGTGAAATACTTCAAACAAGTACACAGCCATATCTCAAAGCAAAATCTGGTAGAAAATATAACTAAACATTTATAGAATCATATAAAATTACCAAATTAAAACAAGAACAAAAAAGTATACAAAACAAAAACAAAATAACAAAACATTAAAATAAACTTTCAGAGTGATGCAAAATTGCCCCCAATCTGATACATTTAAAATCCAACTTTTGGAAAAACAAAATGACTGCAAAATTGTACAATATTGTGTCAGTTTTCTTGTTCCGAATGTTGTTTCTTCTTGAAAGCATTAAAAGATCTAATCTTCACTTCGGCAAATGGCAGCAAGAGAAACAACAAAAACATCGAACAGTCAAAGTTGTCATATTGATTTTTAAAGCATATTCTAACAACTCAAAGATGTTATTTGTGTCTTTCTTTAAACCAAAATTGTACTGAGATTCTGTGGTTATCTGATATCCTTATATATTTTTGAGAAAACTTTTATGTTGTTGTTTGAATGTACAAAGTGAGTGACCTTCTGCACTGATAAAACCGACAAGGTATAGATGAACACGACTGAGTAAACTCTACTGGTGACAGGTGGCTGGGAGACAGACAGACAGACACTGACTGCAAAGGCAGATGTAAATGCCTCGCTGCCTGGAACAGTGTTGATGCAAAAAGCTGCTATGCTCCATGGATCCTCTGTTAGCTCCGTTTGTCTTAACAGCTGCAAGGAGATGAGCTTCACATTCCCTTCCATCCATCTTCTCAAACACTTTTCCTACTCTTGATTCAAAAACACCCGGTTTATTTAACAGATTTTGTTTTTGCCACTGAGGCTGTCATAAGCCACCGGGCGTGCTTATCGAGCTGTGTTATCCATGCTCATAACTTTGTTATTTCACAATCAAGGCAGTCATAAAACTTCCCCAAGCAAAGTTGTAAACCCAGAGGACAAAGGATAATAAAACTTTTGGCGGCAAGCGAGTAAAGCACGAAGTTGAAGACAAGAAAATGGTTGATTTTCACCATAAGGTTATTATAGCAGTCCAGTTTCACAGTGCACCTGCGTTCAGGTGTCCAGACAGTAAAAACACAACTTGTGAGACTCTGTGGCCTCCGAAATTCAACAGCAATCAAGTTTCAAAAACAATGGCATGCACATACAATTCAGAACACATTAGAATATAAGTGGCGACTCTAAATCGCACTAAAACCTACTCTGTCCTGCCCACGCTATTTCTAATAAAGAAATAAAAATAAAAGGATGGATTTTACTTGATGTTGTCTCCGCTGAGCAGAGGGAGAGAGAAGGAGGGGGGAGAAGAGTTCCACACGTCCGCGGATACTTAGTAAAGCAGTCCGCTTTTCGTCCTTTGTGACCTCCATGGCAGAAAGGTGAAAAAATATGACAGACCGTCACTAGTCGACTGGAACAAAAAAAAAACGAGGAAAAATTGCGTATCCTTGAAAACTCCGTGTTTTTTTGGTTACGTGTTAAACCCACGTCTTCGATCGGTAAAGTTGAAAATGTACAAGCCTTCTTATTCCTGTAAGCTTAATTCGTTTAGTTTTCTCGTTGGCCAACGGGGAGAATGACTGAAAGTCCACGCGGGATTTTTTCTCCAGAATTGATGCTCCAGTTGCGTGATAACCGCGTCTCGGTTTCAGCTGGAAAGTAATGGTGGGCCATCTCATACTCTGTTATATAGTTGACTGTGGCCTCAGAGCTGCGACGCCCCTGTACTATCAGCCGCGGTGGCTGCTGGGATTCGTAGTAGCGGACTGTCCTGGGATATAAAGTGGTCGAAAACGCCGGAAGGCCTGGTGGCGTCCAGCAATGTGCAAATGGTCCAATATTCAGCAAAACATGGTCCAACAGGACTGACCATTATATTCTTTCCTGTCTTCAGTCTGCTAAACACCTCACCTCTTGTCGGTCATACTTTTCCTGTTATTTTCCAGGTTCAAGGTCACTATCACCTTCCTCTGGCCGTTTCTAAACTCTCATCTGCTGCAGATATACCACACTTCTTATTCACCCCGTCTTCCAACTCCATGGCATCTCTTCTGACAGAGGTCCACAGGTCATCACCAAAGTATGGAATGACTTCTGCTCTTCTTCAGGTACCAAATCCCAATTGTCCTCAGGCATTCACTTTCAAAACGGATAGTGCAAATGGGTAAATCAGGAGCTGGAGAGCATTCTCCGGTTTGTGTGCTCCTCCAACCCTACCACCTGGAGCCAACACCTCACCGGGGTGGAGTATACTCACAATACTCACATTTCAGCTGCTTCCAGTCGATCCATTCCTCAGATACCAACCTTCTCCCCTTAAGTCCTCTTTTCTTAGTTCTATCATCCCATCCTTTCTCACTCATCTCCAGCGCTGCCACAGGATATGGAATTCCAACAAATCTGCTCTCCAGAGAACATCAGCTCAAAATAAAGCAATTACTGACAAAAGACACATCCTTGCCCCCATTTATTCCCCTGGTCAGAAGGTTTAGCTATCAGCAAAAGATTTCCCATTAAAATCTTGCACCCGTTAACTGTCCCATAGGTTTCTTGGTCCTTATCCCATTGACACTGTGATCAGTCCTTCCACCATTCAACTCAACCTTCCTTCCCACCTTCGCATTTACCCTGTTTTCCACGTCTCTCAGATTAAGCCAGTTGCCTGTAGCTCTTGTGCCCTCTGGCTGAACCCCTTGGTCATCGACGCTCACCCTACCTACACGTTTGCCACATCATGTACGCTTGATGTGGTGGTCGTAGATTCCAGTACCTTGTGGATTGGAAAGGGGGGTGGGAGGTGGGGTGCTGTTTGTGTGAGTGCTCCTCACCTTCCTTGATTGCAGGGCGTAACTGGCAGGTGAGTCTCCGCAGCTGGAGCTCATCCTGGGCAATCAGGAAAAGCATAAGTAGGAGTGGATCCCCTGAGGCAGATAGCTGTTACTTGCTGAGTGGTAATAAGGCCTTCTATTCTTTTTGGTACTCGTACTCATGTTCTCTAATCTACCTCTCGTGTCTTTCTTCCAAGACAACACCCATTCCCCAGTCCTCTTTCTGGACTTAAGTCCTCTGCCTCTTTAGTTCCTGGAGTTTGTTGGCGAACTCATCTCTGGATCCCCTACAAGAATCTCCTTACTGCTCCTCTGGCTGCTCCCTTTTGGAACCGCTGCCTGGACCTCCCTGCATACAAACATCAGTTCTCACCTGCCTGTCCACCTTCTAAGACTCTACCGCTCCCCCATCGTCTCTGTCTCTCTACTGGAACAAGGAAACAAACATCATTAAACAAATCGCTCCACGCAATGCAACCTATCAACCTCAGCCCAATGGATATACAACTTACCTCTCTCCCTGGATTCCCTTCAATATCGATCACAGTAAGACTTAGCTCTATCTCACTCTACATTGTTTATTCTCCTGTTTCACTTCAAAATATTAATCACTTACCTCCTCAATGTTGTCCCGGAACCCACTCCAGAACCCAGAAGAAAACATTAACTATTTCTGTTGTATTAATAAAGTGTTTAAAACTTCATCAGTCATCCGTACTTGTTCCCTGCACAAGGGTCTCATTACAAAATATTATTACACTTTCTTGCTCACAAAATGGAGTGACAACTTTTACATTCTGGTATTACAAAGTCCGTGATAAAAACACTCTTTAAAAATAACCAGAATGGGAAAATCACTCTCAACGCAGCCCCAAACTGTAAATGTGGCTTTTACCCAGTGTTCCTGGGCCTCTGTGTGCCATTTGGACCCTAAAATAAGTTTATTTTACTCTGGCCAAATTCTCAGTCCTTCAGCCTGTGTGGAGGATGCAGTCTGAACATTTTTGATGCAAACATTTGGTTAACACCAAGAACTGCCCTCAGAGGTGGTATGCAAAGAGACTGCAGATAAACCAGATGGATTCATAGAAATGAGAAGAAAAAAGACTCTGAAGGAAAAAAAATATGACCAGAGAAGCATGTCTCACTTGTTGAATTAATAAGCTTCATTTTCCTGCCTCTGAACCCCGGTGTCCATGGAGTAGATAAATGTTTATTTGCTCTCCAGGCCTCAGTAGCGAAGAGAGCACGAGAGGTCCAGATGGGTTTTTTAAGATGTGAGTTCAGAGGCTGTAAAGCTCAGTGACAGAGCAGACTGTGTTCAAACACCAGCACCCAGCAGACATTTTACTCCTCACTAAACATTTATTAAACTGCTACTACTGCTAGTGTACCTTTACATCACTTCTCATTCTTACTTTGTTATTATGGAACATAACATTCAGTTAAATTTAAATCTGTTTGTTATACTGTACTCCTGTCCAAGATCTAGTTGGAGTCAACTCTGCTGTGTTTCCAAGATTAGACAAAAAAACCCCAAAAAACAGATATGATCAGGAAGGTACGGTAAAATAATTTGCTGTGTGCTGTGAGTTTAGGATATACAACGGGGATTACATAAAAGAATGCCTCCACAGTTTAAAGGTTTCAATCAACTTGCATTTTTTTTTAAGATTTGTTTGGCCTTTAGTTTGACAGGAAGAGGGTGGAGAGAGCAGACATACAGCAAGACTGGGAATTGAACCCAGAACAAACATGTGGAGGACTATCGCCTTTGCCCATGGTGCGCCTGCTCTACCCACTAAGCCACCCATCACCATGCATGTTCAGACAGTGGCTTTTCAAAATAATTTTTAGCCTTTGAACATTTTTCACCTTATGCCAAATTAGAACCACTCCAATGTATTTTATGGACCAACACAAAGTAGAGCACAACTGTGAAGTAGGAAAAACATTTCACAAAAACAAAATAAAAAAAATTTAAAAAATGTTCTGCATTCATCCCACGTGAGTCAGTTATTATCTATAAAACCAAAACTTGCTGCAATTAAAGCTACAATTAACTTGTGATATGTCTGTGCCAACCTTGCACAACTAGGGATCAAAATATTTGCCCATTCTTCTTTGCAAAATAACTCAAGCTCATTCAGAATGGTTGGAGATTGTGTATGGACATCAATTTTGATGCAACCGTATTTTACTCTTAAAAGTGACTGGAGTTGGGTCTTTATTTAGAGCCTGAGTATTACCAAACCCCGCTCTGTGATGGATTTTGGAAATTCACCCTGGAATGGTGAAATTATTGGCAGTGTGGTTTTGGAGTTGGACCCAATTTCAGACAGTAGCACTGGATGAGCAGAGAGATGACTTATTAAATAGGACGCACAAAAACTTACTTGAGGAGCACAAGGAGAATAGGACTAAGAATGGACAAAGAAATGGACATGGAAATGGATACTAACAGGAAGTGTAACAGGAGCATCCAGGGGAGAACAATGAGAAGCAAAACGCTTATTTGCTGTGGGAGGTGTGGAGAATTACATGGGATGCCAGTGTATTAATCAGGAAATAATGTGGAGCAGCTGAGGCAGAAGGTAAGCAAGGAGACTGAGCCAGGTAGAAAGAATTAACACAGAGGAGTTAAACTAAGACACAAATCCTAAACCAAGGGGAAAAGACAAATTCTAACCTAGGGGGATAAACTATAATACACAGGGAACAGAACACAGCAATAAACTATGAAACTAAGCACAAAGAAACAACTAATATGGCAACACAAGAGACTATAATAAACAACAGGGAGATGATTACACAACACAAATGAAAACCTAACACCTAAAGAGCGTAACAGATTTTAGAATATTATCTCAACTGGGTATTTTCAACAGGTGTCTACACTTTTGAGAGCCTCTGTAATTTGAGGGTTTCACAACACCTTAAAGCTGTCCCTACAACTGTAATAGAAGAAAAGAAGACGAGAAGTGCGGTTTTACTTCCTCAACCCAATAAAACCATAGCACTGCAGCTCTGAGTGATTTCACCAAATACGTTTCAGTTCATCAAGATATCAGGAGTTTGTGGCAATGTTTGAGAAATGGAACTTGTTTGTTGGTCCCACAAGCCAAGAAACATTTGGAGGAAATAGCCTGAAAGGCTTCTTTAGAAAAAAATATTTGGATTCGACACTTCATTTGGACAGAGTGAACAGTCGTTCTGAGTTGGTCCAAAATGCGTATCCAAAGGACTGTTAACACACAAACATCCCACTCATATGCAATAAAGAGACATTTATATCCAAAAACATGTTTCCAGCTATGAATCTTGTCCAGCAGCTTCCATCCCTCTGAATTTAAATGGGTTAATTCAACAAAGCAAGAGAAATAAAGAGAATATTTTATTGAAGGAGAGCTGTCTTTTTTGCTCTGTGACCAGTGCATGCCTCAAATGAGTATGTCTATCTAAAAGCTCTGTAGCTCCCACAGTCAGTTAAGATAAACCCCAGTATGTTAGGCAAGACACCTGAAAATCTTCTGCATTTTAAGGACCCACTTAAGAGTTTTTCATATAATTTTATTTATAATGAAAAATGAGTGGGGGTGCTGATGTGATTGCCTCTGTTTTTATTACCAGATTGATTTGTCATCAGGCAGCACCATCACTTTAACCTTCTAATTAGGTGTCAGCTGACTCACTCTGCCACTGTTATTTTTTCAGTTAAACCCAAGGGCGAGATAGGGAGGAAATAATGAAAGATGGTGGTAAGATGGAGGGAAAATGAAAGTGTCTGACAGAGACCGATAGATGCAGAGATTCTCAGTAATCCAAAACGAGGATGAAAGGTAACAAAGTAAGGCCCGGGGATGCAATTGATCCTTACGATTTCAAATATTCATTGGCTTCAGGTTCTTTTTCTTCCTTTGTTCCGATTAATTTAATGATTTCCATTCATAGAACTATGTTGTGATTATGAATCTGAGAATATTATTTAATATTTAATATTAATATTTAATCAAATAATATTTCGGTCTGTTAAAGGTTATCCTGTGAATACCAGCCCAGTAAGGCGATGGTATTAGGACAAAATAGAAAGGTGTGAGCCAAGCTCTGACATTATTGAACAGCAAAACTCTGCACATATATGGAATGAATTCACACAATTTCTTAAAATACAAGAATTTATTAACAAAAATAAGTCAACTCAAAGTCAAACATATTTCAATCAACAAACTCTTTACTATGCTAAAACAATCCAACTAAACTACCAAGCAGAATTAAAGAATAAGGAAGACTAATGGGCTATGTACAATATAAACAAGTTGATTAAAGATGATTGAAAACCATGACCAAAAGAGTGGAACCAACTTAGGCAATAATCAGCAAACGTTTAGACAACCATTCACAATGCAAGATCAGATAAATATTATTTTATTAAAATAATGTTTTAAAGAAAGATCTGCTGAATAAAACCAACCTTCTGGATGACTAATTCTCAACGGGGTCTCATTAGCTGCCTTTATTTATTAAAATAATTTTTAAAGAAATATTATTAAGGGAATATTTTGGAAAAGAGCCAAATATTTCTGGGGCTTAATGGCGTTTACTTAGTTATCAGATTTAGTAAAATGATGTTTAGGGACTATTATTTACTAGCCTGAAAACTAACAACCTTTCTGTTAAATATTCCCTAGCAGGCAAGCACGTGTTCTTAGCTTGTTAGCAGTGAAAGCTAACAAAGGAAGCTGATAGCTTAGCACCAGAATCAAACACACACCTTTAAAAATACCATTAATAAAAGGGTTAAAATGCATGAGCGCGATCAATCTTCTGTGTTTAAAATCACCTTTCAAGTAAAGTTTGTCTTAACTTTAAAAACACACAAACAAAGAACACAAAACTGAACACGTGTGCTGCAGATATTCTGCTAGCACCAAGATAGAGTTCAACTCAAACAAAACCAAACTTCATAAAATGAAACACGTTTAGATCATTTCAATCTAAATCCTTCTCTATTATTCTGCCCAAACCTATCCTCTTATGAACGTGTTGAGGAGTTGTCTGGGCGACGATGAAGTTTGAAGAAATGTCCACAGTCAACAAACAGTTAGCTTTCAGCTAACCTCGGTAGCTGGGGGGGGTTTGAATAAGTGGCCGCTTCCAGCTAACCTCCATAGCTGTGGATGAAAGACAGCTCGTTCTGTCCGCTGACCACACTGCACGTTACCACAGGATGAGGCTCCTGTTGTCCTTCCTTCAGACTCGGCTTCGTAGAGACCTCGTCTCTGCAGGGAACTCTGGAACACAGTTTGCTTCTGCAGGCCGGCCTCAGAGAGAAAGTAAAGCAATGCTTATACCTTAATCTCCCTTTTATGAATGAATACCGGATTCTGTCAACAGTAATTCATCAGTACTTAACTTGTGCATATGATCGCATGATCTTATGACACCCTTGGATCCAGTTTGAGGAGTTTATGTCTGTTTGCCAGCAAAGAGACATTAGTGCGCTGTCTCACCGGCCAGCCTCGCACAGAGTCCGGATGGTAAAGGCAGGATGTAACAAGAGCGGTGCTTTTATTTGGCCAGTGACGTCACAGGAAGTCCGCAGTTACCCCGTTTCCTGGCTGTGCCGGAAGTAGGTTAATGCAATTTATTTTGAAAGTTCCAGGAAAGTTTGTGCTGGCCTTTCACGTTGTAACCATGGCTGTGGTCCCAACAACTGTTTGTTTGATCTAGTTCTTATTTGTGCAGGCATTTCTACAACATGTGTGACTTATTTCACTCTTTGTGCACCTACATTACAAACCTTAGAATAGGACAAGAAACATACCTTTTATAATAAAATGCAGCTAAAAGATTCTCTTCTCTCTGATGACAATTTGATCATTAGTAATCTTGACCACTTTGTGTTTGTGTCAAATTCTTCCACTACAGTCAGTCTTAAACAGGGTATATTAGGCCCTCAAATTTTGGGATTTCAGAACATCTGTTTGTCTTTGGGACATTTTTTTAAAACAGGTAGCCAATTTTTTTGCATCACCTTTAACTTATCTATTTCGTACCATCTGGAAATTTGGTTTTGTGTCAGTGTCGAGCTTTTGAAATAGGTTGTCAGGTGGTTTGAAAGGCATCTCTTTTTGCCTTCTTTCAATCTAAAGGTGTTCCATAGGGATCAGTTCTGGGATTGCTGTGATCAATTTTACATATCCACAGTCATGAGAAGTATCGAATTCCAATTTTCATTTTTATGCAAATTATATTCTAATACTGTGTTGGATCTACACCTTATGGGGCACTTTATGAACTCAAGCAATCCTTCACTACTTTGGGAGATGACTATGTAATTCTGTCTCTTACTTTTAGAAGCAGCTCAAAAATCAGCTTAATTTAAAAGAAATTGTCTCAATGTGTGAATTTAAGCAACTTTTAAGCACGGCCAGTGATCAAATATCTGAAAAATAATTTTTTGATTTATGATTTACTGACATTTGTACATCAGACAGGTTTTGTTTTATTGTTATATGTTGTATAAGTTTTAATCATCTTTCATGTTTTTAATATGTATTAACTTTTTGTGTTGTAGTTTAGTTCCATTTGAACTGTCACCTTGGCCAGGTGGAAAAGTTAGCTCTCAAAGATAAGATTTTAAAATAGTCCTTGCAGGTTAAATAAATAAATGAAACACATTTCAAGAAGTTGGAATATCTACTTCTCATTTCAAATAACATAGGTTTACCACTACTGTATGCGTTTTTCATTCCATTTTCCTAGTTTTCTGTTTATTGTGGAACAAGCAACACCTAATTTCTGAGATCAAGGTATAC